GATCCAGCTTTGAAGAAAAAATTCAAATTTCTGGTTTCTGATGTCAGATACTAAGGCCAAATCTAGTAACCTCATTTTTTTTTATATTGCCAGTTGGTTGATTTCATTTTTTTTTCAAATCTTAATTCAACAAAGAAAAGTGAATCATCCTGAACATTTTGAATGGCTATTGTTGTTGTTGTTGTTGAATCTATTACTCCGCTCACTCTTGTCAGAAGATGGTCCCATGTGATTGTCTTCTTTCTTCCTGTGCATTCTCTCTTCCCAGTGTACCTATCTCTTGTTGCTTTTTTCCAATTGGTCGGCTTCATGTTCATTGGTGGTTTCCTCTTCTATTCTTTTCTTGTTCGTTTTCTTAGTTTTCTGTTTTCTTATTCGTTTCCTTAGTTTTCTGTTTTCTTTTTCCATTGGCTATTTATATATGGCTGTACATGTATATGAAAGTACACAAAGAGACTAGATACTAATTCTACCCATATTTTATTTTAGTGGATGAAGAAGAGAAAAATGCAGGAGAGCTGTGCAGAAATGCAGGATAGAGTCTTACTGCACATGAAACTGGCAGCTGTCAAGTTGAGCATTGACGGATTCACAAACGGGCCATTATTGGAGTTGTTTAACTTTGTCAACAAGACTGGACTCAGAGAAGACACAAAAGTGATGTGGATAAAAAATGTGGATAAAGATTGTAAAGATACCATTTTATCTTTATCAAGTAAATTTAGCTGTAATTGAAACATCCATAAATACATGTACTAAAGTAGTTAGTGTGAAAATGCAATTTAAAAGACTAATTAGCATATTGTAAAAGGCTAATTAGCATATTGTTAATTGAAATAATTGTTAGTTAATTAAGAAATGAATATTGAATATTACAGTTTGAGTTTGCTCATATGTCAACAGGTTACAGTGACATTTTTATTATACGAAGAAAAGTGACATGTATCCTGATATGTATATAAATGTTGGTAATTAGGCTCATTTGCATATTTTGGTATTTAATCATGCTCATTAAAATGCTTTGTGTACTTATAAAGGGAATTTATGGCCACAAAAATACCTTGTTAGTATAGAGCTCTGTTCACAATTTGTATCTTACCTGGGAACCTCGTTACCCGCTAAAATGATGTAATTATGTAATCATTAGCATAATTAGGAAAAAATGTGTAAACTTTTCTATGTAAAAAGATGAAATTAAAGACCTTTGTGGCAAACTGTTTGATCCTAATATGCTGAAAATTTGAAGATTGTAGCATGAAAACTTTAAGAGATACAATAAAATGCATGTCAGATATTGTTGATTTATGGTCTCATTTGGTGCCATGTCTAATTAGCCTATTCCCATAGGACCAATACTTAAGCATCTTCCAATGAAAACGTCAAAATCATAAACTTTAAAAAATTCTAGAAAATGTCAACTTTGTCCAATTTTCATGCGAAAGGAAGCATTTTGACCGGAAAAATCTACTTTATAACATGGAATCATTTTTAATAATCCTTGGTGCCCCCCTATTTTTAGTGTGACATCCCTACTAGTAGTAAATTATAATGTCGGCTCTAATCACAGGGAAGGAATATTCAGGTAGATCCTATAACATGTTATTAATGTAGAATGAACCCAAGATAATCCGTCTTGAGCCATCTTTTAATTTGGATCTAAGTATATTGACTATGAGAATTACTGATACGCTCTAGAAGTGCAGTATTGGTTTCTGACGTCCTAATTTTCGAGTCTGACAGTTTTATGACGGATCAATACCCAGCAGATGCTAGGTGGGGACAATACACTCTGGCAGAACAGATGGATTTTCCACTTGTGATTCTGCTGCCATATCAGAATCCCATTACTGATCGTTTGTCAACTGCTTGTGTCCTTATGTGGTTCAAAGATGACTTACACAGTACCATGTGATTGTTTTAAGAGGCGTGTTTTTGCCATTCGGTACAGAACACTTGACTCAGGTGATGTGACCTTACTTCAAAGCATGTTTGCCTGATGACATGATAAGGAAAGCAGAAGGGGATGTGGAGGCTACTGTATGGTGAAAACAACACAAGCATTTCACTTAAAACTTCTGAAAATTCTTTTGAAAATTTGGAATGCCATAGCTACATTCTATAGTCTACTTTAGAGTCTTAAGAAATTTGATATTATTTTCCAAACTTGTTTTTTGGTATAAAAATGTATAAATTTCCATCATGTACAAGTGTATCAAATTGTATTTCCATTCACAAGGTTTAAGATTGACAAAATGGCACAAAATCAGCAACCTCAGCAGTAGTCTTTTTCAGGTAAATTGCAATGAATAAAAAAAGTTCATATATTATGCATGCAACCTTTGAAGAGGACACGGTACAAACTCTGAAGAGATATATTAGCTAATCAAAAGGCCCTACACATAAGCCAGGTGCCTCTGAGCAGGTAACGAACGGATTAGGAAAGTCCCATCTCATTTTAATTCATATATAACAGCATATAATCTTATTGATCAGACGCAGACAGATGACATCTTGAATATTAGTCATTGGCTTGTCAAAACATATACATTTGTATTATTGTCGGGATTCATCCTGGCATAGAGGCTGGGGGGCTGTTGTAATGTGTTATTCTGCATCTGGCTCAGAAATTCACATCAGTGTTAAATAGTTTGGCAACACTGTTAGACAGTGAGCTTCCTTTTAACAGATACTGCTAATCAATGTCCAATTTCCCTTAGACAAGACAAGACACTATTCAAAAGGAACTTCCTGCAAAGGAAGACCTTCAGGAAATCATGTCTTGAAACTTCAGGAAGTTCTTTAGATCAGATACAAAAGGTGTGGGTTGGGGTGTCTGGGGAGTTATTTTTACAAGAAGCTGGGAGTCTCAGAAGTACACATGTAAGACCCAGTCTCCTTTGGGTCAGGTGAAATTTCCTGCCAGTACAAGATTTAAATCAATAGCAGGGGCCTGATATTAGAACGAAATTGGCACTGGGTAACTAAGTGAAATTGCTTATTTTGGGGGTGGTTTAGGTTCGTTCTTTCCACTCAAAATAGAAGGAGGGTGCCACACTGCTGCAGGTGACCACCTTGATTTCTTCTGAAACCTGAAACAGTACTTCATATGTTTTAAATAACTACAGGGAAAAGTCATGCATACATGAACTACCAATATCTGATGCTAAATGGTATGGACTGAGCCTGACCCCACATCTGCTTGGAGTTTAGAATGCCCACTTTCAGCACCGGATACTTGTATTTCAACACCACTTGGAGAGTTGGGACATATTTCTCTATCCATTAAAACAGCTGCTCCCCTCTGCAGTGAAGAGGCCCCCAATAAGTGTGTAGAGAAAATCAATATCACTGGACCATGAATGGATTCATAACGAAGGTTGCAATACTACATCCTTCAAACTACATTGCTCGTCAATACAACTTTTAAACCTTCAATCAATCATGTGCAAACACTTGGATTTGGGCACGTGTGTCATTTATGACCGTACCTTTGGGATATGACTTTCCCTATATTACTTGTGGGGGGAGAGGTGTTCAAAATTCAATCATCCATGTGATAGTAAAGCGCTAGCCTGGTAAAAAGCCATCAAAGAAGGCTACATTATTAATATTACCTTGCAACCAATATCTATTGGGCAGGACTGACTACCAGGCTAGGTATGTTGTAAGGGTGGATGATTTAATGACATTTTTGGGAATTTCCCTATAAAAGATGTAATTTTCTTGCAATTCAATTCAACTTGGAAAAGTTTTTGCAACAAAATTACTTCCAAGACCAAATACTTGAGATTTTATCATACTCCATAGGATTCATTTCACATTCCCAGGTACTAGCTAGGTAGTATTTTTATTTTGAAATCACTGATGAGAAAAAAGTATATTTACTGTAAATATGGGGTTATTAGGGACTACCGTATTATGGAATACCAAAGTGTGTTTCATGCTGCGAGCCAACTGAACTGTGACAATGAAACATTTTGTTAACAAAAAGAACTGTTTATGTGAAACCAATCCTACTGGGGCATAGGTTATGGTAGATTGGTACATACTTCGTTATACCTGACAAGAATGGGCATCTCTGGAATAGCATCATGACAACTCCACTACACTGCAAACGGGAACTGTGGCACATGTGGGAATGCCATAGGATTCTCAACATTGCTTCACTGCAATGCTATGATGACCATTCTCTCCCCATATTTTCAATGCCAGCAATTTGCCCGGCTTCCCATGGGAACAGTGTTTACTGTGCAGCGTTGGTAGAGCTTGACTAGGCAGCTAGGTCACTGCCCAAAATTGGAGACGACCAAGAACACATTGCTCTGTGATGGAGCTAGCACCTCGTAATAAAACGCATAATACTTAGCAGACATGCACATTGAACATAGGGCCATATGAAGAAGTTATTGCATATTGAAACATTTATCATTGCTTAATGTACAACCTGGCAACAGGGGCGACCATCATACGAGTCTCTGCTGAGACCAAACATTTTTCTACTGCTGGAGGAAAATACAGTAGTGTGGTGCATCATGCTTTTTCAAACAAGTAAAAGATAAAAAAAAGTTAGAAACACTACAAGCTACATCCATGATGTTTTGAAATGCAATGTAACGTTACACAAATGATGATTAATTAAGGTATGTTTACATTACAACCTCCAATTTGATACGGTATGGTTACTTTACAGTCTCCAAAAGAATGTTTTTCTACCAAGGGGGATAGATGCCTTCGACCTTAGACCGATAAAATACTGCTCAACAGACAAAATCTAAACTTGCCTCATGTAGTTGTATATTATTTTGGGATCAAGTGTATAGTCTCCAAGTAGATGTCAGCCAGTCAGAAAATTTTCCAACCAACATCTGCTTGGAGGATAATAAAGAAGTGACTTCTGCTCTCCTTCTTCACTTCTCTGAGGGATCTCAAAAAGTTATCTCCAAGTAAATGGCACCCTTTTCCACTTGGTAGACTAGTCTATGTGTAAAGTCATCATTCCTGCTCAACACTTAATTTTCTC